GTTCTGCAATTTTGTTTTTACAGTTTTTAGCTTCCCAGACAGTGTGAACCAGTGGCTTCAATCACCGTGGTTTCGTTGATCCTCCAGGCCCTTGTTTCTATGCTTAAAGCCTTTCTTTATTCCACTCTGGGGAGTTATATCCTGTGGCCTCTATGCACTATACTGTGACAGTGAGAACTCGTCGTCGGAGCATAATATGCAAAAAAACTAATACTATACTATCAACATGGTGACCTGGCTGATCTTAAACAGCATCAGAGCTGCCCCTGGAAGCGATGATTATGGTGCAGGTGCTCCTGCACTTCCAGCAAATTTCGTGACTAGTGTGTTATCCATTATCTTTTCTGCTCAATGTCAGCACCTCTGTAAAGTTTCTGGGTCGAGTACTGGGGCAAGTTTACTGCAGGAATTTGCTTGCCTAATGTCCTAAAGAGATGTTAAAAAGGCCATGAAGTAAAAGAAAAAAAAAGTTTTTTTAAGTGCCTTAGTAGGACATGATAGGACACGTGTGGCATACATCCGCAAATAAACTTTTCCTGAAAAAAGATTAATGTGGTATTTACCTCACAAGAGTCATTGATTACAAAACGCACTGTCTCGAATTAGAAGCATGTTCCTGAATCTCCTTTAACTCAAGATCTGTCTTGTGACGTTCTTCCATTCCTCGTTTTCACCTCAAGAATAAAGCAATTTTTGTGCATTGTTCCTGGACCGCGCGAAGTAGTTCTTACAATATTTGGCTATCGAAGGAAGAAGCCATGCATTTGGCATCTGAAAAAAGTAATTTTTGATAAGATAACACATATCTAGTCTAAAATGCACCCACATATATCGTAGTACTCAACATGAAGGGGAAAATTCATAGTGCTACACACGGAGCCAGACTCTTTTCGCTGTGGTTCTTGCGGTGGAAACGAGTATGGTTTCTAGAACATTATTTCAGACCAGTCCTTTTAAAGAGAACCAGTCAGGCCTGTAGCCAGGGGGTGGGGGGGGGGGGAATGCCTCCCTACACCCTCCCCCCCAGCATTAAAAAAAAAAAAGGAAAAATATTGACGTTTTTGAAGATGTTTTGTGAAACACTCTTTTTTCATGTTTTGACAGAGCATGCATAAAACTCTCGGGACAAGGGACAATGAACATATATTTAAAAAGATATCACTTGTCCAGAGTTTCTTTTATTCTTCCCATGTCAAGTTAAATTTTAAACTAACACACTCTACAGTTACTTTGGTCACTTTAATCTTTCATGTTCTTTTACACCTCGAGGCACCGTCATGAGTGTTTACTTTTTGGCGGAAGGGAAAAAAGGGGGGTTTCACCGAAAAAAAAAAAAAAAAAATATCCTGGCTACAGGCCTGATCCTAGTGCTGACTAGGATCTATGAGCATTTCAGTGCATTATCATGGGTAGACTGCGTCATCTGTGTAGTATGTACGGCAAGTCATCCGGAGCGGAGGATTGCTCAGAAAATTGTAGGGCAGGAAAAATCTCACCTGAGGCGATCAGTAATGCGATGACCACCTTGAGCATTTGGAAGGCCCTGGCGGCAGGCAGGCAGATGTGCATGGCCAGCAGGACGACGCATGCCAGGAGCAGCACCGTGAAGCCAATGGTGAAGAAGACTTGCACCGCCACGAAGAAGGCTGCACAAAAGCGAACGAGAAGTGTCACCGCGGCGGAGGAAAATGGAGCGCGGACGTAACTTCGCTGTCTATTTTCAAAGTTCGTTTAGCGCGCCATGACGGCCAGGTCGGTGTCTGCGACCCTGTCATTGCCCTCTCAACCTCGGATGCGCCTGACGCGCCCGGCAGCACGTCTCGCGCGCACAACCGATCAATGTGCGCCCAGACGGTCCGGTAACCAGGCCAAACCGAATAAGCGCACTACCGAAGGCTCGATTTACAATAATAGAAGTTCCAAGTCGAGTGGAACCGTCATCAAATCGCACCAGCTACCAAAAAAAGAAAAAGGGAGAGGGGCCGGCCGATTGCGGTGCTTACGGGTTTCGATGAAGTCTCTGAGGGTGTTGTATTCGTACGTGAGCACCCATCGACAACCCACGTAGAACTTCTCCATATTCAAGTCATTCGGGTTGGAGAAGCTTCGGAAGCAGGCTTCCCACAGTCCGAGCCTGAGCAACTGGGCACTGTAAATGCGCGGGTCGGACGCCAGCCAGTAGGGCGTCGCGAAGGCGATGAACACGAGCACCAGGCTGAGGGCGGCGAAGGCGTAGCCCGCCTTGCGGCCCAGCGAAAGCTGGCTCCAGTCCGACATCTTGTCCGGAGACACGCCCGCACGTGCTCAACGAGAGTCGAACGCGCACCACCGCGAGCACCGTTGAGATTTTCGAATCCGGCACCCTTGGGGAAACGTCACTGCCGCCGCCGATCCAACATGGCGGCTCTGCCGTCGCTACGCAAGCGCGGGCGCCACACCTGTGCTGCGAGAGTGCGGACTCTCGGATATCGAGTGGTCGCGCCAGGTGCAAAACATTCCTGGCGGCTGATGCGATGCTGCGGACGGACCCGTTTTTTTGTGCGTTTCTTTTTTTTCCTTGCGTGTAGAGTTGGGTGGTTGGGTGGTGCCCTCACTCTCCTCCTCCACCCAACTTGTTATCCTTCAAACGGGTGGCGGTTGGAAGAAAAGGGCTCTCTCTGCTGCGTTCTTGAGCCGATGTGTTTTATTCGTAGAAACGTCACCGCGAAGGACTTTTGTCGGAGAGGGCTTCGGCGATGTGGTCAGTCCCGGTTTGTCTTCTTCGCGAGGCGACCTGGCGGAAATGATTCGTTCTGCAACTATGAACGCTGCTTTGAAACGGCCCTGTTGTCTTTTGTGTTCCGAGTCATCCGGATGGCACTTGTCACGCGAGGCTTTCTTTCGAAGCGTGCTCGCTCTTTCGCCTTCTTCGCAAGACTTATATTTACTACGATTGCTTCTGGTCCAAGTGGTCTGGGAGTCTGGGAACCACGAGCGTGCGGCTGCCGTCTGGATACCGAGCAGAGGGACTTCTTTCTCGGAGAGAAAGAGACCTCAACAACCTTCGTTTATACTTTTGTTCGTTACCTCCACGGATGATGCTGACCGTCACGTGTTATCGTGTCTGACCTTGTACGGGTCGCTTTGTGTAGCTTACCCTTGTAGAAGGCCGTTCGCGCGTCAAGAAAGGCCGTACAAAAACGAAGCAGGGATGATGTCATCGAGTTTGGTGTTGGCACCGCTGCTCAGACCCCCGTTTACAAAAGTGACTACTCTGTTGAATATACCAGTGCCACAAGAATATCGACGAACCTGCAACCGATTACAATTGAAAACGAGCGTGTTGGCTAGTAGATACAAAACTTCAAAGTATAAAGCAGAGAGGACGAGGACGGGAAAAGGACATCTTTGTCCTTTTCCCGTCCTCGTCCTCTCTGCTTTATACTTTCAAGTTTTGCATCTGCAACCGAGTTTCCTGGCATGTTTGGCTTTCTATACTGCAACATGAAAGACATTAAAACCCCGGAGCTCGTCGCCTGTACTCCCATCGCGGTAAAATCCACCCTTCCCTTTCTTAAATTGATTATAGACGAACTTGGTGTTTCAAATTCAAGACGCAAAAAGCGACCGCTAAAAATACGCACCAGTCATACTTTGTTTAATGTATCATTTAACCTAAACTAGCTTTTTTTTTTTACCTCTTTTTTAACTTTTCCCAGATGTCAACCTGGTGACATGTCAATAAAATCATCACCACGAGTCACAAACGTGTTTTATTTATAATCTTTCTTTTTGTGACCGTGATCCCATTTGTGCGACAAGCACCGATTTTGATTCTTCGTCGACGAAACGAGATCTACGTTTTTTTCAACCCGAACAATCTTCATCGGTACTGCTTATTCGCCAATACATTTCTTTGTGGCCTAAAGGTTACGTGCAAAGACTTGGCAACCAGATGTATTTTATTTGTTTGCGAACATCACTCCGATGGGAAGCGTCGTCCATTGTGAGGTACGAAAGGTATAACAAAGAACATAATATTTGTCAGTGTCAGAGAAGACAAAGTGAAATCAAACGGCTGAAATGGGCGCGGGTTTTCGGGAGCGTGGTTTTGCGGTCGGTGACGTCGAAGCGGGAGTGCCCAGAGGCAGCCGTGCGATGCTTGCCGGCAGCAGCTGTCAACGACCGCGCTCGGGACGTGTGTTCGTGCGAGGTGTCTGGGAACGTCGTGCTCGGGTGAGCAGATCTCCTCCTCCGGGTAGACCTCGCTCGGAATGTGCAGCGATCGACAACGCGCTGCGCCTTTCGTTGGAGCGGAATGGCAAAGAGCATTGGGCATCGTGGAGATGGCGATACCGTAATACCCCGAAAGATAGCGCCCCCCGGATGTTTTCGGTCCAAAGGTTACATAACACCGAAATATATAAAGGGTGTCTGAAATGCCGAGGCTCGATCTAAAATGGGCCGTAAAAATCGGCGCCTGCACGTAGCAATCTAAGCTTTTCTTTAAAAATGTATTTCAGAGTAAGCATTTCACAATAAAATTACAAAACAAACCTCCCTTTCTGTAAAAAAAAAAAAAAAAATTATTTTGGTGAAGAAGGAAGACCGGCGAAGCTGTATACGCTCGTCCCGTGTGTTTCCTCTTCGTCCTCGTCTGCTTTGCGCGCCGTTTCCTACGATAAATTCCCACCAACTCGCCCAACTATCCATGCATATAGCTGCAGGATAGCTGGAAAGGTCGCCGCCGTCGCTCATAGATGGTGGTAGCTGTCCAGAGTTTTGTGTAGTTTTGTGTCGACATTTGTTTGGTACCGGACACGAAACTGGGGTAATTAGCCCTTAACAGCTCCGCTGTAAAAAAACAGTTTATGCGGTGCGCAAGTTCGTCTGCCTCTTGTGAAGTCGCGGTGACGTCAGAACGACACCGAGCTCCGATTGTAAGGATAGTGGGTTTACCTAAAGGCAGCTATCATTGAGGTCCGCCCGCTATCCCTCATTCACAACCAATCAGAGCTGGGCGCGTTCTGACGTCACCACAGCCCCTGCGCAAGAAGCAGGCCAACTTGCGCTCCGCATTGGTCAGCAGATATCCTCCCATCATCTGAATCTTCAGTTATTCCATTCATAATAGAAGCCAGCGAGAAAAGACAATTGAAAACTATTTTGGGCAGGTACTCCGTTCTGGGAGATGTAACCGCCGTCATCGCACATCGCTCGATAAAACATACGCAATTAAACTGTCGCAGTCGCAGAGATGATGGCATTTGTCGCTGTGCATAACTGTGCACCGTCTATAATGGAATGCAGTGGGCGCCACGAGCTATCCCAGTTCATCCAGCGCTGTGGACGCATCACGTGACTGCCCGACCGTGGGATTGGTTGGGGTGGCTCGTTTCGTAGCGCCCGCTGCGGTCCACTGTGTACGATTGCTGCTACGATGCAAATGGGAGGAAATGGAGCCTCGGCGTGTTTTGAGCCATGGCGCCGGACTGCTGCCCGACTCTCGCTTATGCGTCGCGTCTCGTCGCGCAACGCAGCAAATACTGGAGTGTATTCGCGCGACACGACCGGATGTGAGCACTCATCTGTGCAGCTAACGCTGGAACCGACAAAAAAGAAGAAACAAAAAATAGCGCATAGGCGACGAGACATCGTGCTAACTGATACACTGTGTTTAGCGGGAGCTGCTCTGACAAGACGGTTCGTTAACTTGGGTATCGGTGCACGGTACGCTAGAACGTAATGTTACTCCCCCAATGGGCGGAGCTGCAAACTACCGTTTAATTTTTTTAAGCCTTTTTCTTTTTTTTGCGAGGAGTACAGACACGACATTGCTAACGCCGGGTCGCAAGAAAACTGGTTCATTCCGTATACAGTAACAACTGCGTCGTAATTGACCTCCGGACTTGCTTTTAGGATGTTGCTTCTTAGTTCGTTGAGTCACGCAGCTGCGGAGCGTCGGGCAAAAGCCTCTTTGAAGGTCGCAACACATTTCAGTTGGTCCTCGAAAGGTCTGAGCCTCTCCCCCTCGCTTCGTACGTCTATAAATATGGGGATTCGTGAGTCAGAGCCCAGACTCACGACGCCGTGTAGATTTCTATTCTGTGAGCTTCTTAACCGGTCGCGTATGTGTCATCAAAGCTGTCGTGGGCGAGGAGGTGAGACACATGTGACTTCACAATTGGCTGTCGAGTGCTGAAATGAAACTACCTTTCTGGTTACTACAATAACATATGGTACAAAGCCGACGGGAAGCTAGGTTTTGACGTGTTGTAGCTTAGACGGAGGGAAAATGATAGAACTTGTTTTTGAAGAGTATACTAATCACTCCGAACAAGAAGAAAACCGAATCTGGTCATTTATTTGCTTTTTTTTCCCCCCTTTTTACAGCAGAGCTGTTAAGGGCAGTTTCCACAAGATCGTGTCCGCTAGCAAACAAATGATGACACAAAACTCTGGACAGCTACCGCCATCTATGAGCGACGGCGGCAACCCGTTAACCGGCTTGCCGGCTTTCTGATAGCCGCCGTCGCTCATGGATGGCGACAACCTTTCGAGCTTTTTTACTCTGACTTGCCGACTTGCGGCCGGCCATTACTTCATTCCAGTGTTGGACGAAATACTCGATAAAAGTATTTAACTTAGGTTACTAAATATCTGCTTCGTAAAGAATTTAAAATACTCCTCAAGTTACTTTCACAGTAAAGTATCTTGAATTGAGTACAACAAATACTTAGAAATGTAATTTAATTACTTTTGAAGACACTTCCGCATTGCGTAATTTGTATCGACGTCAGTGACAACGACAAGTATACAGCTACGGAAATCTGGGTTACCAGAATGGTTTATTAGCACGCAACAAGACAAAACGGCAAAAAGAAGAAAAAAAGTATCGTAGAACTATTTTATGCAGTCTAACTATAAGGGATATTGTCACGAATGAAAAATGACGAGGCGGCGGATAACTGAAGAAACTAAGCGTTTAATGGGGCGAACTTGTGCCCAAAACAAAATACAGAAAGGCTAGCGTCGCAGGCGTCGATGTCGGCGAAACAGCAGGTTCGAGCGCTGGGGCGAGACTGACTCCGGACCACCACTCGGAGCACCTTTCGTACCCGGGTGGGTTTCTGGGACATTCGGCGTAGAACATTCGTAACTCGATCAGACGACAAGGTTTTTGAGCTTACGGAAAATGTTAAGTTGAAAGAATGAATAAAAGAGGAGTCCGCTCCCTGGTATCGAACCCGGAGCCTTCGCGCGAGATCCAAGCGCGGCAACCATTCAGCCACGCGCTCGCTCGGCAACGCGCGTGTCAATATCAATGATACATGTTCCAAAACATTTCTGGGACAACGAGAAATTTATCTATTGGGGAGGAGATCAGACCGGTGGCGCACAAAGCGGTTAAGATTGGAACTACATGGATGGGGACAACAAATACAATGACTCGACGCTCGGCTGAATTAACCGAACGCGGCGTCAGCGTTCGGCTAGAGTTCGTGTTCTTCGGTGAGGAGGGGC